TGCAGAATTGTAACATTATTTGAATGCGTTGGGGTGTACAGTGGCGACTCGCTGGTACTAACCGTATCAAGACCACGATGACTGTTCTCTCAAACAAGCTGGTCATCAGATATGTAGCTGAACCTGCAGAGGAGGAAGGGTCTGCTTGAGTGGCGACCAGTGGCTGGGGTTTCACCCGCAACCATGCACGATAGTAAGTGGCGCAGAAATGCCCTGCGAAAGAAGGACAGAGCCTTATACCATGGGGGGAGTTGTTGTTTCATATATTGGTCTTTCTAGAGTTTCTATGAGGAAATTTAGTCTTTAAGTGCTCCATTTGACGTTACTAACTGTTATCTTAGTGATATGATTTTGCCTTCCGAACTAAAGTCTATGACGATTAAATTTCGTTAGTGAATACTCAGTGTTTTATCGTTTATGGACTTTCTGCTTGTTGAAAGTGTCTTACTTCATCCATACGATTTTCAGGCGGCCGAAGAGGCGGTAGGTCTGCGTAACTCCGAGTTGGCAGAAATGGATGGTCGAGACGTGCTTCCCACTACTTCTGCATCATCGAAAGCTATTCCTGGTGATTTTCTCAGCAAATTTTGACACTATAGAGAAAAAGCAAAATGTTCGTCGTCATTTACCTCAGAGAGAAGCACCACGAATGAGATTACCATTTGTTTTGCGGTGATATTTAAATGGGCAGACTGCATCAAGACAGATTTTGGATGAAAAGGCAGCCCATTAGAAATTAAGCTTAGAGATGGTCAGTGATGCACGAAAGAGAAAAAAAACATGAAAAACGGCCTAGAACCCGAGAAATGGACCCCTTCCTTGCCCGTTGATTTCCGCATTGATGCGACTCTCATCGGTGCTGCCCTCTTCAACGCTAACGCTCTCTCTGCTAAACGGCTAGAGGCTCAGACAGCGAGAGGGGGGGGGTACTGCGCCGATAGCGCGCCAATAGTGCCGCGGGAAGGCCAGCTTGGTCGCCGGGAGCATATCGTTCAATGCGAACTGCATGCCGGACCGCACCCTTAGGAGACTCGCCTGTTTCTCCCCTGGGTGCGCTCCCCTTCTTCGTCCTTGTCGAGGAGTCCCCTTTAGACGTGATCCACGTAGGGTAGCTGAAGCTGTGGTCGTCTTTCAAACAGACTTCAAGCTTGTTACTGACACGAGGGTCTGTAGGGTTGGAATGTTTCACAGGAGTTTTGATGGGCGATGCAAGATGGTGTATTCATGGGCACTTAATCATTCATCGCAGTTGTATGTAGTTGTTTTGAAATGTAAAACGGTTATCCATGTCGAACTGTAGTCCGTCTGATCAGAGTTCGGGTGGGCGTATGTGTTGTTATGTGGTTAGGGGCATGTTCTGGTAAGAATGAAGTCGATTTACTGGCGTCATTCTGCTCCACTCTACGCGTTTTTGTGGTTTCAAGGTGGTTTGAGGCACTTCCAGTAGTTAACTAAGTCCACCGCTAACAACAGCGACATCATGGAAGGGATTGTACGTCTAAAATCAGCCTGACGCACATGGCTCTGCGTTATGTCCTTCTAGCCATAATCTTACCCATAATTAAGTAAACGCAGTGCCAAGGAGACTTATGTGTTCTAAACGTAACTCCCTATTTTTTTTCAAAATACGTAAGTAAAAAAAGGATGAAGCTTTTGCCGAGCCGACGCGATGACAGCAGTGTTTTTATCCTCCCAGACAAGTCTGGTACCAATTAACCGACCCCGGAGGGATGGAAGGCTTGGTTGGCCCGGGCGACTCACGACCCAGGATTTGATCCCGGACCGCTCGCGTGGTAAGCGTGCCACTTGTCACTACACCACTTCCGCCCTTTTACAATATGTACGTAAATATGATACTACTTTGAAGGTAAGATTGACGGCGTGCGGTCGCCCACTCCAGCAGTCGACACAACGGAGGTGCGTGTGGTTGACAACGCTTCGTCGTCCTCGTCACGGGTACCGACCAGCTCCGAGAATTCCGATCAGCAACCGACGGGACGCAAATGGCGACATCACGCCGGCAGAAACCGCTTCTTTTGCGATGGACGTGTACGCTTTTTTTCTATTAGATGATATTTTCGACTTTTTTTCTCAGATATTTCTTCCTTTTTTGATTTTTTCTTCGGTATTTGATTTTTTTGTATTGTCGGAGTTTCTATTGATATCAGAATCCGTTTTTACCAGCACTAGAAACTTTTCAAAACTTTTAATCCTGAAAAATAGAATTTGTTTCTCGCAAAATCTCCTGTTCCGAACGTTCCCCAGGTTTCGCCATATCCACGCATCTCGTCCACTCCTATGCAGGCAAAAAAGCACAGAGCTTAAATAATGGATTGATAAAAAAACAAAGAAAATGTGGACTAAGCAGCCCTTCAAATTCTCACCCCTTCGCATACAATTTTTGAATATTTTTGAACATGAACAAATAATAACATGAGGATTCGAAAATAACCTTTCAGTCAAAATAAAAATAAAGAAAGAACTTTAAGGCAATAAACAAAATAGTTTGGTTGTATATTTACTGAACAATTAATTTCTTTGTAATCAATAATATAATACTTGCATGTTTGCTTTGGTTTTTTGGGATATTTACTTTATTGAAAGAATAATGCTGGAAATGCTTCGAGCATTCAATCATCTAATGGTCCTTAATGTTTACTCTTGGTGTAGGAATGTAAGCCCACTCAATCGGTGGCTCTTCTTGCCCGGCAAGTCCTCGGGGAATCGGAAACTAAGCCGCTATGGCAAAGCCCACAGGGATCATTTCGTACGGCTTCTAGGGAGATTGGTTTCAATCTGGAAATAGGATTCCGCACTTTCTTGCGCATCTAACAATTAGGCTTCTCCGGTGGAAGTTCTGGTAACTCCGAGGGGTGAATAATAGACAAAGTCGCTGAACCTGATTAATGCCTTTGGGGATGCGCCACGCATACAGAATTAGTCAAATATTAGAACCATACATTAACTGATTTTGAAAAGAGCGACTTGAACGACGTAATGATTGTAGACAAGGGTTTTGAATTCTCTCGACGAGCTTATGCAGTACCATACAGCCAAACGCGAAGAACCATGGCTGTTTCATACGCAAGTTGGTTTATGTACGACGAGGGAAAAATTGTTATTCATAGTTAAGTTATTTTCTGTACTTACTGTTTTTTTATTGTACGTCGTTTATTATTTAGCACTCTTAGGGAAAAATGACCATACTTTATGTGGGGTGCGCCGTGGTGGTTTTGGGTCCCTTGGAGGCGAAAAGGCTTGTGCTCTTTTTGAGATCGGGGTTAAATTGTATGAGTTGCAAAAATTTCCTTGACAAAGCGACATGGGTGTGCATTTGATACTCTGTTAACTATGTTTATTTAATTCATTTTTTATTTTATTAGGAACTTTGATTATATCTAATCGAACATTTTGAGTTGGTTTGGTTACTTATACAGAAGTAACACATAATTTTTTTATTAATTTCTATGCGTTTAGATAATTATGGCACGGCAAATCAATGTTTTCGTCTTCACTTTGTTCCTGATTTCGACTACACTCACGTTATTTTTTGTTTTTGAGTGAGTTTTCTTTATCATTTTCGGTTTGGATTTTCATACTTCGAAACAGCGTGGCAGGTTTTTGTATAATTAGGTATAGTTATTATAAGAAATTTTCTTCATCGAGAATTTTCCCTTCTGTTGCTGCTCTAATTTGTACGGTTGCCGCAAATATGCCCTGTGGTGCGCTGATGCTGTGTGTTTTTCTTCAACTGTGCCTGGCGCTTCTGAGAAGGCCAGATGGGGAAGGATCTGGATTTAGGAAGAGAAGCAGGCCAATTGTCATTATACCAGGAAAACGAGTGGAAAGGAATCGTATTAGACAAAGTATCGTATTTCGAGAAAATGTGGGAGGAGCATTTGGGAGTGCAAAATTTTTCGTCCATCCGCTACAGAGCGGAAGTGGTGTAGTGGCAAGTGGCACGCTTACCACGCGAGCGGTCCGGGATCAAATATGGGTCGGAACGTAGACCAACCAAGCCTACATCCCGGGAGTCGATTAATTGGTACCAGACTTGTCTGGGAGGATAAAAACACTGACTTGTACATCGGCTGGCCCCCGCAAGTCATTGTATAGGCCACATCGCATTCAAACGCCACTACGAATGTACAAATGGAAGTAGAATGCGTGCCGCATCCCAAAAGGGATTGATCAACGGCAAATGCTTTATCCTTTTTTATAGGGATTATTTGACAAGGTCGAAGTTAATGAAAAAGCAGGAAATACTTCCAAGAACTACAAAATTAGAAATTCCTCTTCGTTAGTCGCTTACGAACAGGGCTGGGAAAATTACTGGACATGTCTACAGCAACTGTTGGCTTTGTGCCATCAACCGACACGACCACAAAAAGTCAGCAATGAAAACTGATTTTTTCTAGTTTCCCTATTTTTCTATTTTCCTGTGCTTTTTTGTTTGCTTCCTATCTTAAAATTTTTTTCTCACTAGAATGATGACAACGTTCTCCAAAATGTTCGTAAGATAGGATATTGATGTCGTATTTTCGCAATTGAAATCCGCTACATTCTCCTACGACTTTCCAAGGAACGGCTGAACATATAGCGTTCCAGGTGGTTGTTGGAAGATCACGTAGGCAGTGGGCGGGCTCAATGAGGTTGGGGAGGTGCCAATGCTCCAAACTAGGCTCCTAGCGCCTAAACCTTTCGAAACGCCCGCACTTATAGCACATGACTGCACTGGTTGCTCCATATTTGACGAAGTAACCTAAAGTCGCCAGAAAGCCGGAATCTGCCTTTAAGCCCTTGTCATGAAATCCGCGGAGAGGGGTCATAGTTGTGGAACTAGAGGTGGATTGAATTTCCAGAGGATTGCGTAGTTCATGCAAAGTGGTGGGTCGGGTTTGCGATTGGAACTCACGTGTATTTTGTGTGGTATCATTAATCGTAAAGTGAAGAAATAGGAGAAGTTGTCCGTTCAACAGCTTCTAGCAGTAGCTCCTACTATCGCCTCGTTCTGACCCCTTTCCTTGCACCGCTCAGGGATTTGCTTCCTTTTGTACTCTCGGTATGATGTGTGTTAAATAGTGCCAGATTTGGGAAATGAGAACAACTGTGGTACTTAAGATGGGTGATGAGATGAGGGCGTAAATTGTTTTTTGGCGGGGGGGGGAGGAACTTAGAAGTAGATGTCAGCATTGGCCACCAATCCTCGGATCATTTCTTTGTAAAAAGTCGGCATAAGTTTATCTCATATTATCACATATATCTTACACATATGTGTCCAAGACGTCGCCATCTTCATATCGATCTTCGAGATTACAATTTTGGTGCATCGTATTGAGGGGCGGGGGGAACACGGCGCCGGCGCGCAGTCGTTCTGCTGCCAGTTTAGTACTCCGATGGCGAAATATTCGAAATGCACGTGTGGGTGAATTAATGACTGCACTGGGTCTAATTTTTAGGAGGAAAGACGAACAGAGCGGCCGCCGCCGTCGCGTGTCCCCCCCAACTAGGATAGCACCCAATTTTTTAATTTGTTATTTACTACGGCTGCTTCTGGCATAACGCTCATAATTATTTACTGTCGTTGTCCATTTTCTCGTTATTAAGATGACACTAGCCGTTGTTTCTATTTTTTATTGTTGTTATTTATCAAAGTGGGAGGAAACACATCCATATATACTTTATTTCAGCATATCTCAGATGCGATTAATATGATCAGTTTTTGGTAGGCGGGCATCGTTATGTTTAAACATTTATTTATCATTAGCTCAGTGTATGAGGGTGCTGGTGAGGAGAGAAAACAAAAAAAAAAAAAAAAAAAAAAAAAAGCCGAGAAAAAATCCTACGGAACTTGCCTCCTATTTTGCAATCAAAAAACTTCATGAATCTATTAAGCTGTTCCCATTTGGTATGCAAATTGATTTTTCAGTGCACCATTTCTTTACAACGAGATATCACCCGTGTTACCAGTGCTTCCCGCGATACTATCCTTTTTGGTGATGGTCAGTTTGTTGAAGACATCGTTCAGTGATCCAGGGATTCTTCCGCGAGCACCAAATATGGAGGTGTCAGAACGTGCACGGCAACATTTTAATGGTGAATTTATGATTTTATTTCAGTTTCAGGAACTAAATTGTTCACTAATTAGGATTCAGCCGTACAGTTCGGTTTATGAAATACCGTTTGTGGGCGTCAAATCCGCAATCTTCTAGGTCACCTCCCACCTAAAGATTCCCAACTCTTCCAAACACAACGAAAAACACTCCCAAACCCGAAAAATTAGGGGGAATGAGGAAATTTTATCTCTTCACGTGTCTGATCCCTCTTATACTTTCGTTACAACGCGTGAGCTACTTTGAAATTGACGTGAATGCCGCTATCGCGCAATTGATCCGTGCCTATGGGATGCGCCGTGCATACTCTTTGTGGCGTAATCGGCACGGCGTTTACGCGTTCCTAAATTGTACAACGACTTTCGAACCTTGCCGATAGCTGATTCATTTTTTCCTTCAAGGTAAGTCCTGCACTTTTTCTGACCTTTTGAAGAGTCAGAACAAGTCAGATCACTGGTGAGATTGAGGAAGAGTACTGCCCTCACTTCAATATTGATCACTAGCGACTGTTGTTTGAATGCCTCGCAGTTTGTATGAACTCAAGTCGTACAACAGGCCCATGCCTACTGTGGTATGCGTGTGTGCGTTTTTTCGTGGGACGGTCATGGGCTAGCGGTGCCCACCCAAGGTAGTCGTAAACTACGACATTCCTGCCGTAGGTTCCTCACGCGCTCGCACGGCGGGAAGGTTTCCGCGCTAGACTAGGCGCGAGGCCACTCTGGCGTGCGTGCCATCCTCCACCTCCTACATGAACGGCGCTCAGTATAGTTGGCGGGTTGGCTCGACATATTCTCTCTCCGTTGAGAGAGCGCAGAGAAAACGAATAGTGGGAGGCGAGCACGCACTTCAACGCGTCAATGCGTCGCGCATTGTACGTGACTACAGCAGAACATTATAATTCACGCTTTACTTCGGGTGCTCGCTCTGTCTAAACGGCTTAAGTCCCTAGTGGTCTGTGGCGCCACTATCACACGTATGATCCGTGGGTTCAGTCATAGTGAGATCACGCCTATAATCAAGCCACAAATCCTTTGGCTCCACTTGACTGGTATCAAGCTCTCTTGAAGGTCCATAACACATAACTTTTTCAGAATGATCTACCAAATTAAGCGCATAGGAAGAGGTACATTCAATCTGTGCTACGACTCATAATAAAAAACGAAAACTTGACGTACTCTATGCATGACGTCGGATCCCGACCTCCAGCACTTAATTTTTTACACGTTATTTCTCCTTTATATGAGGCTGCAAGGGAAATGAGACTGGAATGAGAGAAGCTAGAAAAAGTTATCGTTATTTTCATTTTTCAGAGATTATTTCCGATCCTGATTACAATCCAGATACGAGCGCTCTTCCTGATCCTCCTAGAACGAAACAGGTATGAGCTTCCGTATTTTTTGAATGAGGAAAAAGCATCCCTAGCCAATAATCGTTTTTGCAATAGCGCCACGCTTTCTGCCATACTTCGATTGAATGTCGTGGTGGGATTTCAAATTCGATTCGATCTATAATACTTTAATCACTTACGAAGCTAGGCGACACTCAAGCTTGTAAAAGCCTATTAACAATTACCGAATAGCTCAGGTAAAGGAGTTCTGCACGATAATGACTTAGGTAGATGAAGGGGAATTTACCTAGTGGAATAGGTGGACCTCTCAGGGGTATGGGCTGACTCGCAATTCGCATCAAAGGATATGTCCCCTCTAGTATAGGCCTTCACCAAAGCCCAGTTGGCCCGTTGCGCGCCCTCTTTTGCGTCGTATCGTGTCTGGGTCTATAGCCATTTGGTGGAGGCAGCGTTAGCGTTGAAGGGGACATCACCGACCAGTGCACAAGTCAACAGACAGGGAAGGGGCCTTGTTTCTCGGGTTCTAGGCCATTTTTTCTCGACTTTTCTTCATCGATGCATCAGTGACCATCTCGAAATTGTCCGCCAGGCACCGTCCGCTGCGAAAAATCCAACAAGGGTCGTAGGGCGTACGCTCGTAGAGTGGGGCGGAGTTGAAGAAAGTGGCAGCAGTTTTCAAAGACGGAGGGCCGCATTGTCGTGTTTGAAGGTTGCGTTGGGCTCTACCCCCAGTCAACGGATGAAAGGGTTGGAAGATATTTCAGAGCTGGTACGGCGAAACAAGCAGTGGTGTGAGAGTGATAAATTCTGTCAGGAAATATGAGATCGACAAAGGTTACGTGGGCTGAAAGGCAAGAAACGATGTTCTTCAGTTGCCCGCGCGTGCGTCGAGGGGAAGATGGTCGCACGCAGGCGAACGCGACGGCTGCCGGCGTTGCCAACACGACCGTCCAGACCGAGCAGACTGGGAGATGCGCCAGGAGGCACGCGGCGCATTGCGAGAACTGGCGGCCAAAAAGAGCAGTGAGAATGGCGCGTGGAATTAGCAAGATTTGGAAGTTTGGGTGGCGGGAGCGGAACGCCATAGAAGCAGGCAAGCGCCAGGGCGAACGAAAAGGGCAGTACGGCAGTGAGCAACGGGACGAACGCAGGCGAGCGGCGGACGGGGGTGCAGGAAGGGAAACGGGGCGGATGCAGGAAACAGAACGAGCGCGGAAAAAGTGGGAAAGCGGTCCAGGAAGGGGGTGACCGATGCGCGGACGCGTGACGGCGGGCGGCGCGTGGTCCTAATCGCGGTCCTGAGTCCAGAGTGCCTGGTTACGGGGCCTTACGGCTTACGCAAGGGCATTCATGAACAGCAGCCGCGTCCGGGGTTTCCAATGGACTGCCATTTTCATCGTGAGATCCGCCTTCAAATTAGGCTGGTCTGGGTCTCCCAAATATGATGAGATCTTCTCACCCACAATGTTCGCTCTGGTGTTGAAGCTAGGGTTGTCTGAGTGTGATCAGGATCAACACCCAGCTTACATATTATTTGGGGGGGATACACGATACAGGTTATCCTCTTTTGGCCGTTGGTTTTCACTCATGAACAGGTAACAGCTCAGAAAGTGGACGTATGAACGAGTTCACCGCAACGCGTTTGATGGCACCATGCCAAACACGCTTCAATCGAGATGCTCCATTTGCGCCGCTGCTGGCCACGCAGCTCGTCCAAATCAACAAGTAAACTAGTGGGCGGATCGCTTTTGGGGGCGGAGCGCTTTCGAAGTCCTGCTCAGCAACCAGCGCACCTTTCGTTGTGAAAGCGCCACATCTCGCTTCCTGGCAGCCAAGTAACTGATTCGTGTGGTGCACATGCTTCCTCCGATGCGCTCCTTCCTTATCGTAATCGCTTCCTTAAAGGCAAGATTCAAGCTTAAACTGATGAGGTAATTCTACTCAAATGTGATGTAGGGGCGGGGGAGGTGGACCGCCAGTGTGGAAAAAAGGAAAAAAAATTCGAAATACACAGGAAATACGAGCCTTTTGCTCTACGTTGCGGAGAAGTTCAAAAGGCCGGCAGGGAGATGAGAGATAATGTGAGCGCGGAGAGCGGTAGAGAAATCCGAGAAGAGAGAGCATAGCAGATCAACATTGCGACGCAGACAAGAATATCGAGAGGCGGTGGGCGGAGGACGCCATGTCCAAAGGCTTGGACACTCCTAGCGCTTATTGACGCATTTTCGATGCAGAAACTTTTGGCGAGTCGCCTGCAGCTTGCGGTCCCATGCGACTTCTGCAATTGGCGCTTATTTAGATGGGGTCTGAGCCCAAACTTGTTTAAGGCTTGAGTTTTTCCTGGAGTTGGGGCAGTCAGGATTCTTTATTATCATTCTACCGTTCCAGTGTCTACCGCATACTTATTCGAATTCATTTGGATTTCAAATTTTTTCAGTGGTGATATAAATGGTTAACCGCTCGAACTGAAGTACTGTTTTACATGCCGTCTATTTCGACCGCCACGAAGCTCTCATTGCTCAGTATGCGACAATTGCGTGTTGAATTTTGACCATCACTGTAGGTTTTAGTCGATCTCATATTCTCTGCTGGCGCTATCACAAGGTTGGGAGTAGGGGGGGGGGGTACTATTTTGGCAGTATAAAACGTTGAATCGCAACGCACAACGCATGTTCATCTCGTTTCTCGTGAACAACGGAACTGAGCCTCAGTTTGGATGACTCCAGGGTATGAGCAATTTTTATTTTTTTTTGAAATTTTTTTCTGCCCTCCTCTAACAAGGGAGGTCTTTCAGGACATGGAGCGCTTTTTCGAAATGGTTTCCTGCATGTTGTAGAGGCTCATGCGAGGAACACAGAACCATGATCCATTTTTCCTGAACGCCTCCAGGAATGTCAAAACAGTGGTGAAGAAATGGTCCAGAGTTCGATCCCCGGTGATGACTAATTTTTGCAATATAGTTTGGCGCCCCAGATTGCCGCCAAATGGCGCCATCGTCGAATAGATGTCATTGTCGTGTTTTGCGGCAATTTGGAGGCGCCAACATAAATTGCAAAAATTTGTCATCACGGAGGATCGAACTTTGGACCATTTCTTCCCCGCTGTTTTGACATTCCTGGGGCGTTCAGGAAAAATGGACCATGGTTCTGTTCCTCACATGAGCCTCTACAACAAACAGAAAACCATTTTGAAAAAAAAATGCTCCATGTCCTGAAAGACCTTCCTTGTAAGTTCAGTGTTGAGCATGCCCTCTGTCTTGCGATAGCGCCTCTGTGTTTTCTTAGATGGCTCAGTTTTGGTCTCCAATGAAGGAGAAAAGAGCATACTTTCAGGTCCATGGGTTGGTAATTGTATTGGTCAGAGGAACTATCGTCATTTCTATTTTTTCATTTCATCGTTGGCATTGCTCATCATCTGCCTATTTGCATGTTCACTTGCTCATCTGTTGATATGTGAGTGTTTTTGATCGTTTGCTAATGGAAACGAAAGCTTGTTTGTTGTTTGTTTACTTATTTACAAATTCTGCACCTAGAATAGTTCCTTCAATATGATTGCAAAATATCGTCATAGAAGGGTTTTTTGTCACCCTTACTTGGCTAGAAATCCACTGAAAATAGAAGCATAAATAATTCGGAAGGGATTCTACCTTCACAGGACCCGCCACGCGTTCCGCTTCTGTTCTGAATCCTGGTGACATTTTAATGCGGTTTCCCGTATAGAATGACTTTGAGGCCACCCGGTGTGCAAATAATTGTGCAAATCAGCAGGTACCATCATTTCGACGGTCTCTAGGGGTATTGATCTACGTGATCAATCCTGGGGGGCATCAAAAATTTGTAATCTGACCCTTAAATTCAAATTCAAAATTCCTGGGGGTTCCCTTTAGCCATATGACCCGACCCCAAAGGTGCGAAGCACATATAAAAGCCTCACTGCACGGTCTTCAGCAAAGGGTGCCTTCTAACGCTCGGCTTTTACAAAGGTTAGCGGGTTACGACATCGTTCATGGCTTATTCTCCCTTAGTTTTTCTTTCTTGTAATCTGAAATATGGTAATGTGGACCATAGACTGAAAATGGAAGCAGCGAAAAGCTGATAGCTATTAACCAGCTACTCCCTTTTTTCCCGCCAGGAAAATAAGGAAGCGTAGGCGCCGACAGAAAAATATAGGGACTTATCTTGCCCGTTAACTAGCGATTTTGCCGCATTCGTAAAGCCAAGCTGCGTTTCATGGTGGGCACACGAGATATCTCGTCCATAATTTAAGAATAGTTGCCATAAGTTCACCTTCTAAAGCCCTAGCGCCTTTGTCGCGCACCTTCAAAGGGCGACAACGGCACATCTGTAATACTCATGAACTGCTTATTTCCCAGCGCACTGACAGATTCTTCAATACGAACGGTGGGTGATGCTTTCCCTATTCCCTTTTGCTATCAGTTGGATGAATCAGAAGTGTTCAGCGAGGATGGGGCCGCTAACATTGTTTCATTGGCTGTTCTACAGATTCGCATAGTTGAGTCCATACGCTTACCCTTTCGCCCTGGCGGTGGCAATTGCCACCACCAAATTCAAACGCTTGCATTTCCGCTGAAACAGCATGTTTTTTAATTCCTGCTAGAGTTTGCTTCAGTCAACCTTCCCCTTCCTAATTATGAGCTTAACCGGCCATTTCATTGTTTATTGCTGTTAGTATTGCAAGTATTTGTGTACAAGTGCAACAGTGAATGGGCGCTGACCCCCGCAACCGGCCAAGTAAGTGTGACTTTGTCTTAAAATACTTGAAGTGGATCCATTCCTAAATCAAAATTATGGGTTATAATGTTATGCAAGATTATAAACTTTTTCGGCATAACTATGAAATTTCGAATTGTTTCGACATAAGCTCTTAAAAACTAAGAAGTAGTGGCTAATTTTGTTTGTCCACTAGGGCTGAGCATGAACCGAAATCATCTGCGGCATATCAGTTTTTTTGCGCAGGAGGGCTCGAATAGTTGGGAACACAATATTGATTGACGCCGAGTAACATCACAATCTCAGGTAACTACCTCGACGAACGATGAAAATATTCGTATTTTCGCGCAGAATCGTCCAAAAGAAGTGGAATTCAATATCGGGTTAGGTAAATCGGCAAGAAGCTACACAAATTGCGGCGCCCGGGTGCGCGAGGCTAAACTGGTAAGTTCAAAATATGAGAGGTTGGCAACTTTCAAGCTTCTCAGTTCATTGTTTGTGATCGATAGGCTATCCAATTAGCCCTTATATAACCTATATTTGCCTCTCGAGTAAATAAACAATGTATAGAAAAATATCTCGTCTGGGAAATTCAGGTACGACGTCAATGCTACTGGCGGCCATGTGAAGTGGAATATTTGTCGCACCTAGAAGGAGAATAATTAGCACTGATCATTTCAATTTCCGCCAATTCCAGTGACTTGTAATTTTACACTTACCCAAAAAGATAATTTTTTAGGGCAGTCGCTTAAATTAAAAAAAAAACAGCTTGCGAAATATGAGATATATATATTATCTATGGTGGTAGCATAGTATCTCTAGCGTTTTTTCGAGGTAATAATTCATCAGTGTCAGCATTACCCGCCAAACCGCCATATTATTCGAATGTACTCTTCCCGCTCTACGAAACCTTTGTTGTCATTTTACTCAACATTGTAGATGTAATCAGGTATAGAGCATAGAAGTTGGAAAACCAGGCGGCGAAAATCGACGTATCGACAGCTCCTATTCTCATTTCAAATAATGAGGAAAAACACGCCAAATTGGAAGTTCTTTTGAAATCCATTGCTCTGATAGGACCTTGCTCAAACGTACCCTACCTTTTCCGCTGAAACTAAAACCATATTCTATTATAAAAATGACGGGGTGAAACTCCAGTTCGGGGGGGGGCACTCCATTTTTTCTCCAATACTCAAGATAAGGATTAGAGGGCTCACGACACGTAATCGACTCATTTAAAGTAGACTTCTGATAAATATTGGTGTAATGGGTGAGAAACCCTGAAACGTTTTCACATTTCCGCCTGCCATGACCCAAGGGAACGGTCCTGGACCAGGAGAAAGGACACCTCCGCAAAGGGCTAAGGGTGCAGGAGCTCCAGGGTGGATCACCTGTGCAGAAAAGTGGATGGGATGTGGGCAGGTAGTGTGGAATGTAGGACATCCACCGGTCCTTATCAAAAGTACGCTCGAAATGAGTCGTTCATAGCCCAGAAAACTGCTCTCTAGTGCTACGGATAAGATAGCAATGGAGTGCCCCCCTCCCGAACTGGAGTTTCACCAACTGAGAGTAATAAGACTCCAAAAAAGTGCAAAATATTTTTTAAATTCTATATCCGGTGATCTCCTGCGAAATGCAATCAAAGTTGTAAATAATGACGAAGTGAACATCACTGATTAGTTTTATGTTTTTATTTTTGCTTTAAATGTTTGTGTGAAGAAATGAAAAATGCAAGCGCTACGATATTATGCTCCAACCCAATGATATATATCGCAAATATAATATGAAAAATATTATCAACACATAAATTTAATTGTGATGTAATTATTTTTTCCAAGCAAATTTTTCCTTACTAAAACTCGATTATTGAATAAGCTCTTCACATCTGTATCGAAAAACCAAATTTCACTTCAAAAATTTTGCAATTCAGTGTCGAAATCGGATCAATTTCTTAATGCTGTGAAAAAATCGCCTGTGTCTCTTGTAGTCGTCATTATATGCTTCTTTTCAATTTGGTGAGCTTTTCTACATCTTTTTTATTTTCTATATACTTTTGGCTATTTGATTTTTCCTTTTGCTTTTTTCTTCCATATTACTTTATTCCAGTAGATTCATCGACATTCCTTTCGAAGTGCAACAAAAAATAATGGAGGTTGAAAATGCTTGAAAAGCTTGAAAATTTTGATATTTCAGGTCAATTATTGGATTGGCCGGATTCCATACATATCTTATAGCCACCAATCAAACAACAAATGAGGATGTGAGTTTAGTACAATGATTTTCGCTTACATTCAATGTTTAGGGCGGAAGTGGTGTAGTGGCAAGTGGCACGCTTACCACGCGAGCGGTCCGGGGATCAAATCCTGGGTCGTGAGTCGCCCGGGCCAACCAAGCCTTCCATCCCTCCGGGGTCGGTTAATTGGTACCAGACTTGTCTGGGAGGATAAAAACACTGACTTGTACATCGGCTGGCCCCGCAAGTCATTGTATAGGCCACATCGCATTCAAACGCCACTACGAATGTACAAATGGAAGTAGAATGCGTGCCGCATCCCAAAAAGGGATTGATCAACGGCAAATGCTTTATCCTTTTTTATCCTTTATTCAATGTTGTTGAAAATTTAGTTCTGTTAGTACTGTTCGTAAACCTATATTTTACAGTGTGAGATTATGGGAACCAAAAAATTACTTCTTCCCCTCAAAAGCAGCTTGA